ATTTGACATACGATCAAATATACAACAGCACCAACTATGCGCAAATACCAGAATACAGCATACAGTCATCTCATAGTCATAGTAATAGAAATATTGATAGAGAGCAAACCAAAGTTAAGGATCTAGATTATAATGGAAGAGAAGGCAATAATATAAAAAGCAGTCAATTACTGGTAGGGTTTTCACACGACCCTTACAGATATTCTATACCAGAGGGTGATTATATTAAAGGTGTTAGGTAAGTAACTTTACATATTCTTAGTTCTCTTATGGCCGGTTTCCCAGCTACATTTAACCATACATTAGTGTTTTTGGTTCGATACCTTCATGGTATGCGTTTCTGAACTACGTAACTTGAGTTTTACTTGTCAATGAATAACTAATGAATTACTATGGAACGATAAAATTAATGGAAACTTCAGAAACCTATCATTATTTGGACTTATATCTATACACTGATTATAAGCAAAATTTATACTAATATTTGCTTATACTCAGTTTATTGCTAAATTTAACTTTATACCGCGTTTATTTCTAAGGCTGCAAGGCTAAAACAGTAGAAGTCTTCTAGACAGCGTGTACTACTAGCTCGAAAATGCTGGATATACGAGTAGTTATATCTTAAAAATAGAGACAGAAATAATTACCAGTAACAGAAATTTAAAAAAATATAACAAAGAACCTTCTCGATTAAAATAACAAGTATCCAATACGACTTACGGACCTTCATGAAGCGAACCTACAATATCCTCAAAGGCCGGCAACGCGTCTGTAGTTTCTTTAGTGTTGCGGATGTCCATGGGCGTAGCTGACCACCTCGGTGTTCTTGCCGCTCGTTTGCTCCCTTTTTATAAAAAATGCTTATCTATTTTTGCAGGAATATAGACCCAAATGCGTTTACAAATAAAAATGAAAATCGCGGTAAACGAGGTGTACTGCACTTGTATAATATGATATTCTGCGCGACGGGCTGCGAGCCGCTTGCCTACAAGGGTTACGGTTGCTATTGCGGTTTCCTCGGCTCTGGTCGACCTACTGATGGGATTGATAAGTATGTTGATAAACGACGACGCATCACAAACACACAAGCACTAACGTATTTCAATACTTACCAAATCTATATTTATACTAATATTATAAAGAGGAAAGATTTGTAGTTTTGTATGTTAATAACTCAAAAACTACTTGGCTAATTTAAATCATTGCTTCAAAATTAAAAAGTTACCGCTATCGGTAAGTAACGTAGGCTATACTTTTTATTACATTTAATTTTACGCGGGCGAAGTCGCGAGCGACAGCTATCGTACTTCTTACTAATATAAGATATAAATGTGACAGTTTAGATGGATGGATGGGTGGATGTTTATTAGAGCTTGTAGCCTAAACTACTGAACGGAACCCGATGAAATTTGACATAGATATAGTCTGGAAGAACACATAGGCTGTTAGCTTTGTTTTTTTTTTCTAATTCCACGCGAACTAAGTCGCATACGACAGCTGTACAAAATAAAAACAAAAAACTGTTACAAACGTTTTAATACCTTACTACATAATATTTCTCATAATAAACTTGCTCTATGTTTCTCAACGATTCTGAGTACAAATTTAAAATGCTTATTATTCCTCAGTTGCTGTCGACTCCACGATGAATGTTACGAGAACATCTACTGTCCGTTCTACACGGTGTACTTCCAACCTTATTACTGGAAGTGTTACCACAACCAGCCGCTCTGTGCGCTAGAAAACTATCAGACACGGCATAACGTTATTAACGGCTGTGCTGCAAGACTCTGCGAATGTGACAGGAAGTTTGCGATGTGCGTCAAAAGGTATTCCTGTCCGAGAGGACGCGCGCTTTGTCACTCTTCGCCATTACGATTATTGCAAAATTTACTCATGTTCCGATAGAGCCATATTTAATGTTACCACTAATTTTTATTTTAATTTGTGAATAATGTAACATTAGTGTAAATAAAAGTTATTGCTAATACATTTTAGTTGCTTTTTTATTTTTATACTTAAACTTTTTAAGCAAGATCACAGATAATAAAGGAACGAAATGTTTTAGAATTAAGATTGAGATTACGCTTGCTATCCTGGGTTTGACAAAGATGCAAAACTAGTAAGTGAAATAAAAAGTTTCATTGCATTTTCATTATTGACAACTATTCAACAGTGGTTGTGCCCGCGTTAACATCTTAGCACCCCCGGTGTAATACCACGACCACACAGAAGACAGGCGTGA